GCCAGTCCAAGGCAACAAGGAAGGAAGTCTGAGCGGTAGCGCTGGTTTTATTGGGACGGCAGCTTTCGGCGGCGAGCAAGAGCATCGTCCTGAGGAATAAATGAGGAAGCCTCGAGCGGGAGCGGTGTTCTTCCTGGGAGCGGCGCCAACGAAAAAGAGAGTAGGGCGCCAGTCCAGCGCAAAACGGGAGGACGTCTGGGGCGGGAGCGCTGGTTTTGTCGGGACGGTGGTTTTCGGCGGCGAGGAGGAGCACCGCCTTGAGTAAAAAAGGGAGGACGTCTCGAGCGGGAGCGTTGTTGTTGCAGGGGGTGGCGATGAGAGAAACCGTAGCGCGCCAGTCCAAGGCAAAAAGGAAGGAAGTCTGAGCGGTAGCGCTGGTTTTGTTAGGACGGCAGCTTTTGGCGGCGAGCAAGAGCATCGTCCCTGAGTGAACAACGAGGAAGTCTCAAACGTTGTTGGGGGGGCCGTTTTGGCGCCCCCCAAAACCGGCCGGCCGTGAGCTTCATTTTGAGTGAAAATGTAGCTGGCGCCGACGCGAGAGCGCCAAAGCGCCTGGGGGGGTCCAACAATAAAAATTGTTATGTAATTTGACATTCAACAATAACAACACCATCAATAACACCACCACCAACAACAAAGGCAACAACAACAATGACAATAACAATAACGGCGGCAGCACCAGCAACAACACCAACAATCATGTTATGATTGCCCGTTCCTGTCTGCTCGCATGCCACTCAACACATACATCCCACACCCTCGGTACCCGCCCTATTCGTCTTCGATCGTACCCCCTGGGGGGATCTTTTCGTTACCCGCCGCGCGCATGTTGTGCAGCCTCCAAAACAGAGGAACGAAGGACGGATGCAAGGGAAAGGGAAATGGACCGAGAGGGATGGCGCGCGAGCAGGGAGGGGGCTGGGAGCAGAAAGCACTTGGCAGAACCAGACGGGAAGATCGAGCGGGCAGACCATAGCGGGCGGGTCGAGGTGGTGGGCAGAGGCGGCCAGGCTGAGCAGTCGGCATGTTGAAGCGTGAGTCTTTCACGGATCGCGAGGAGGTCTCGACCGATAACGCGATTTCCAAATACATCGCACAAAACAGCCAAGGCATCAGCATGATTCCTGATCGTCGAGGGTGCAGCGTTGGAATAACTTGCGATGAAGTCCTACGCAGGAGCGCGATTCTTGCATACATTGTGAGGAAGTCCCGAGCGCGAGAGCTCGATTTTGGAACACGCTGTAAGGAGGTATCTGGCGGGAGCCGCTGTTGTGGTTCACCGAGGGGCGAAGACACGGTTTGCGTTGTGGAGGAAACAAAAAAAAAAGGGTGCGAGCCGGGGGAGGCAGCTGAATTGAAACATGCAATGGTTACCGGAAGGGGGGGATCAGCAACATGTTTTTCCCAACCATCTTGTGGTGTTGGGTCCTCGTTATGAAGAGAGGGTCCCCGCGTTCCTCCCTCCCTCCTTCCTCCCCCTCCTCCCTCCTCCCTGCGTCTCACCCACCCAGTACAGCGCTTCGTGGCCCCATAGGGAGCTCCACCGAAGGCCCCAGTGCCACCGATCGCACGCGTCCCGAAACATCCAATTCGCGACTTTCACCCACTCAGTACACCGCTTCGTGGCCCCATAGGGAGCTCCACCGAAGGCTCCAGTGCCACCGTCCGCATGCGCCACGAAACATCCAAATTGGCATTCTTACCCACCCACTACAGCGTTTCGTAGCCCCATGGGGGGCTCCACCGAAGGCCCCAGTTCCACTGTCCGCATGCGTCCCGAAACCTCCACTTTAGCATGTTCACCCACCCAGCACAGCGCTTCGTGGCCCCATAGGGAGCTCCACCGAAGGCTCCAGAGCCACCGTCCGCACGCGTCGCGAAATACCCAAGATGGCATTTTCACACACCCAGTAGAACGTTTCGTGACACCATAGGGAGCTCCACCGAAGGCCCCAGTGCCACCGTCCGCATGCGCCCCGAAACATCCAAGCTAGCCTTTTCACACACCCAGTACGGCGTTTCGTGGCTCCATATGGAGTTTCATTGAAGGCCCCAGCGCCACCGTCCGCACTCGTCGCGAAACATCAAGCTTCGCATTTTCCCCCGCCCAGTACAGCGCTTCGTGGCCCAATAGGGAGCTTCACGAAGGCCCCAGTGCCACCGTCCGCATGCGTCTCGAAACATCCAATGTGGCATTTCCACCCACCCACTTACAGCGCTTCGTGGCCCCATGGGGAGCTCCACCGAAGGCCCCAGTGCCACCGTCCGCATGCGTCGCGAAATATTCAATTTGGCTTTCTCAACCGTCTAGTACAGCTTTTCGTGGCCCCATAGAGGGTCCACCGAAGGCCCCAGTGCCACCGGTCGCACGCGTCCCGAAACATCCAATTTGGCGTTTTCACACACCCAGTACAGCGCTTCGTGGCCCCATAGGGAGCTCCACCGAAGACCCCAGTACCACCGTCCGCACGCGTCCCGAAACATCCAACTTGGCATTTTCACCCACCCAGTACAGCGTTTCGTGGCCCCACAGGGAGGTCCACCGAAGGCCCCAGTGCTACCACCCGCATGCGTCCCCCCCAACCAAGTACAGCGTTTCGTTGCCCCATAGGAAGCTCAGCCGAAGGTTCCAGGTCTACCGCATGCGCCCCCCGTCGGTGGAGCTCCCCATTGGGCCACGAAGCGCTGCACTGGGTGGGAGGGACGCACGTGGGCGGTAGCACCGGGGCCTTCGGTGGAACTCCCGATGGGGCCACGACGCGTTGGGTGGAGGGGACGCATGCGGGCGGTAGCACTGGGACCGTCGCTGGAGCTCCCTATTGGGCCACGAAGCGCTGTACTGGGTGGGGGGGACGCATGCGGGCGGTAGCACTGGGGCCGTCGGTGGAGCGCCCTATGGGGCCACGAAGCGCTGTACTGGGTGGCCACATAGGGAGCTCCACCGAAGGTCCAGTGCTACCGCCCGCGTGCGCCCCCCCCCCCCCCCCCCCACACAGTACAACTTTCATAGCCCCGCAGGGGGCTCCACCGACGGCCCCAGTGCTACCGCCCGCATGCGTCCACCTGACTCAGTACAGCGTTTTGTGGCCCCATAGGGAGCTTCACCGAAGGCCCCGGTGCTACCGCCCGCATGCGTCCCCCCAACCCAGTACAGCGGTTCGTGGCCCCATAGGGAGCTTCACCGAAGGCCCCGGTGCTACCGCCCGCATGCGCCCCCCCCCCACGCAATACAGCGTTTCGTGGCCCCATAGGGAGCTTCACCGGAGAAGGTATTCACAATTGCGGTACCCACCAGGCAAATTTTTGGAATGGAAATGCAAAAACATAACATCAACGACAGCAACAACATGCGTTTGAAGAATAATGGTCGTTCCTATCTTCTCGCGTGCCATCCAACACGTATGTCCCAAATTCTCGGTGCCCGCCCTGTTGGTCTTCGATCGTACCCCTTTGGGGGTATATCCTTTTTACCTGTCACGTGCATTCAGTGCATTCCCATGGAACAGGGGAAGAGGGGACGGATGGAGGGGGGAGGTGGAAGGATGGAGCACGAGAGAAATTAGCAGGAGAGGGGACCTAGGAGCAGAAGGCACCTGGCAGAACCAGACGAGCAAATCGGGATGGCAGACCGGCGGGTCGGGAAGGCTGGCCGGGGCGGCCAGGTCGAGCAGGCGGGTTGTTGAAGCGTGAACCCACCCTAATTCGTGAGGAAGGTTTCCGACGATAGTGCGATTCCCCGGTGAAGCGCTTGGAAATCCAAAGCGAGAGCGTGATTCCTGAGTGGCGAGGGTGCAGCGTGTGAATCAATTGCGGGGAAGTCCCACGCGAGAGCGCGACTACTGCATAACATTTGAGAACATCCTGCGCGAGAGCGCGGTTTTGGAATCAGGTGTCAGGAAGTATCAGGCGGGAGCCGTTGTTGCTATAGTTCGGGGCCCAACAATTCAGTTTGAGACGTATATGTTATATAACAAGTGCGAGCCCCGAGAAGGGCACTTCAATTCAAAATTGCTGCACATGTGGGGGGACCAACAATAATCATTCTTCAAACACGAGAGCACAACAACAGCAATCATTTTGATGTTGTTCACTCTTATACGCGCGCGTGTCAACCAACATGTGTTCCCCAAGCCCTGGATATCCGATTTCTTCGTCTTCGATCGTGCCCCCAGCCATGGGGGGATGATTTTCTTCACTGCCCCGTGTGATGGGCGCTGCCTTCTTAATCCGAAGGGGGCCACTGTGGGCTGCAAAGGGGCCAGGAAGGGCAGCGAGAGGGCCACGAAGAGCTACATCGGGGCCACGAAGGTCACCGAGGGGGCTACGAAACGCGAGCGCAGGGCCACGACCGGCATCGATGGGATTCAAATGGCCGGGCCACGAAGGGCATCGAGGAGGCCACGAAGGCCTCGGCGGGGCCTTCACTTCCCGGCTGCGGTATCGCGAAGCGCAGCGAGGGGCATCGGAACGTGCGAAGAGCAGCGAGGGGCGATTGCGGGCCTTACGGGGCGGGTCAGGCTGGGCGGACCAGGACAGGCGGGTCGAGCGCGCGGGGCGCGAAGGCGTGAGTCCTGCACAATTCGCCAGGAACTTCGGGGCGAGAGCGCGATTCCCACGTAAACTGCAAGGAAGGCCAAGGCGAGAGCGCTGCTCCTGAATGTCGAGAGCGCGGCGCCGTAGTACATTGCAGAGAGGTCTCCAGCGAGGGCGCGCTTCTTGAATGAATTGCAAGGAAGTTTCAAGCCGGAGCGGGGGGGCCCAATAAATGGTAGGAGGGATCCGGCGGGAGCCGTTGTTGTTGAAGTTCGGGAGCCCGGGGGCGATTTGAGTTTCACGACTTTCCTTGATAAAAAAAGTAGGTGCGAGCCCCAGGAGGTGACCTTCAATTGAAAACATCAAAGTGCGCCGGAGGGGGATCAACAATAATTATTATTTTGTAGTTGAAATTCAACAGTGACAACAACAAAACCGGTTGGCGTGATTTTTCCAGTGCCTTGGAGGTCTTGGTTGCGCCCGCCCTTTGAGGATCTCGACGGCATGCCCGCGCTGAGAGACATGCTGGGCAAGCCGCTGCTGCAGGTGGTCCCGTCCACGAAGTATAACTTTCGAACCAAGATTGCTACGGCGATGTTGATCTCAGATGGCATTTATAGCACGAGTGTGTTGCCCCGTCGTGAGGCGTTCCAGAAACGGCTACGTCTTCGAGGATTAAAGGAGTTGCCATCTCTTCCTCAGCGGAAGGCGGCGACGGGTCGGCGGAAGTAAGCGGAAGACGGCGGAAGCTAGCAGAAAGTTGGCCGTTTCTTTTCCGAGCTGGGTCGCAATTCCCAGCACGACCGTGCGATATGGTTTTCGCGCGCCGTCTGTCAGCGCCGCCATAGTATCCAGCAACGCCTCGACCACATAGTACGAGATCCAAGATGATGTTGCGATCACCGAGGGCGACCATGTCTTCGCCGACGGTTGTGGGCACCTTCGTGCTCGCAGCCGTGGCCAACCACGTCTTTGCCGCTGTGGGTAACCACGCCTTCGGTTACGCAATCAACGGAGTGAAGTTTTCGGTCGAGTACTGGATTGGGCGCTGCGGCGACGATGATATGATGAACTCCTATTTCCGGTCCGTGTTGATAGTGTGGGCGCTGACCAGCGGTTCGACCGGTCTGACCTTCCATGCGTTATGGGCAAAAGGATTTCGAGCTATCGTGCGGAGCAAGGACACCGCGGGTGGTACAGCCGTTTCGGAGGGTACTACGCGCGGTGCATTTTTGTGGATGGTTCTCATGGTATTCAGTTGCTGTCGTCGTTTCGTCAGGGATATGTCATCAGGTGGCATGTACATTGACGTTCTAGCTCTCACGGGCGGACGCTCCTTCACTCACAACGAACCCGTTCTTCCTGGCTGATGGTTGAGCTCAGGTTGTTGAGTAGGCTTTGCATTGCAACAAGCTGCTGCGTCTCGGAAGAGCGCTGGCTCAGGGTATCTCTCGTTACGCGCTTCAGACGGTGAGGAAAGGCACAGACCGTGTGCAGTGACCTATCGGGGCCCTCGGTTCTGGGATGGTGCGCATCCAACCTGCCCCCTCGGCGTCTTCCTCCGCCTTCGCGGCAAGTCTCTATGCGGGCCCTCGAGTCGGTTCCGGGGTTGCCCCGAGTGCCGCCAACCGGCCATAGTTGGGTAAAGTATGTTCTGTCGTCGGCCGCGCGGCCGGAACAACAGGTTGTCATGTTCTTTCGCCCGCCGGCGCCAGCTAGCAGCAACGAATCGCTGCTTGTCGTTGTCGTTGGGTGGCCGACTGTTCACGTTTGCTTTTTCGCGCCTGGTGTCGCTGTGAGCAGCCACATCAGGCGCCGCGTGTCGGGTGATCTTCACCCAAAGCTTGTGTCGGGCGTGTCCCCCTACAGGGGGGTTTTCGACGAAAAATACAGAATACCCTAAAAAGGGTGAGAAACAAACAAAAAAAAAAACGTCCCCATACTATTTTTGGATTATGTTTTGATCATGTAGGGGGTATCTGAAATTTGTTGTCGAAAATCCCCCTGTAGGGGGACAGGCCCGACTTAACCCAAAGCCCCTCACGAAGCGTCCGTCCCGAATGCGCACCGGGCACAGTGGTGTGTGGCAGACGAGGGCCGGCGGAGGCCGCCGGGCGCAGCGATCGCCCCGCGGCTCCCGGAGCCCACCACGTGTGCAGGTCGTGTGCAGCTCAGGAGGGAAAAACACACACAGACACAATGAATCGTCGATTCCCAGGAAAATATGGAAAAATATTGGAAGTGGGGGGGGAAGACAAAAAAAACAGAAAATATTGGAAAATATGGGGAATCCTTTCATTTGTGTGTATTTATTTGTGTGTCCCAGGGCCCCTTCAGCAGCTTGCGCGGCAAGTTGTGGCACGGCCCCGTCATGCGGTGCACGCCCAGGCATGGTCGCGTCGTAAGGGAATCAGGGCTGGAGACGTTTGGCTTTCTTCGGTCCCGCGGGGCCCTCGCCGGGCCCTCGAGACCGTCCAACAACAAGAGACTCAGGACGGTAAACCGGTCCCGGGGGAAGTGGTCGGGACTTCAGGGACGCCGTCCTGAAGAAATCAGGACGTCGCACGTCTGGGTTCCCGCCTCCCTCCCTCGAAGACAAAAAAGACGCCGCTGCAGGTGGTGCGCGGCCTCGACTTTGAGCGGCTGCTGCGCGGTTGCTTCCGGGGGTCCCTCTCGCGCCTCGTCTACCCGCACAGCCGCGGCCCGGAGGACCTGCAGGGCCAGATCGGATTGCTGCTGCGCTGTCTTGCGGACAAGGAGTTCATCTCGAGGGACACGCGTCGCCATGCGCATGAACTTGCGGGTCCAGAGATCCAGAGCAGTGTGCGAATCAAGGTGGAGGTGTTTGCCGATCTTCGGCCTCTACAGACGCGTTCGCCAGCCCCGGGACAGTCGAAAAACGACTCCGGACGAGAAGCCGGTCCCGGGGGGGGGGGCCGAGATGTCCGAGGATTTCGCATTGAACAAATCAGGACATCAAATGTTGGGGAAGGTCCGCGCGGACTTCGGGGATGGATGCTGGGGCCCCTTTGGCGGCGCCTCCGGCTCCGCCACTGGAGCGTTCCGCGTGCAAGGGAGGGGAGCCCAGAGCCGAGCCAAGAAATCCTCGCGGACCTCCGAAAGTTCATGCTCATGCCGATGTTTGTTCCTCTATCATCGGCATGGTCCGCGACTGGATACTCCGCGTAGTCGAGACCACCCCGAAGAACCCCAGCAGTGCGGCTGAGGGCACCGTCGGCCACGACCAAGCATGGTTTGCGGCCGTGGCAGCGGCCACCCACGGCCTGGCGTTGGCTGGCACGCTGCGCAACGCACTGCACGGCAGGGTCGTCAGCCTGGTCTCTTCCTTGCTCGCAGTAATGCTGGCACACCTCGACAGGAGCTCAGAGGAGGAAGAGGTACCCATATCGCTACCCCTGCCCCGTTGTCGCCTTTGAGGGTCTCCTGGCAGGCCCTCGTCGCCACGGCTGGATTCGCCTCGAGATCCTGTTCTGAACGCGCCCCGGGAGAGATCTGGGGAGTACCGGTATCTTGGGCTCTTCGGGTTTCCCGAGGAACGGCGGGCTTGCCCTCCTGGAGCAGAAGCACACGCGGCCCCTGTGGCTGAGCCTCGCCGCGGCCTCCCTGGGCTCCCCGCTGAGCGCCCAGCTCGGCATCCGGGCAGTCCAGGCACTGAGCGAGCCCGCCACCGCGCAGCACGAGGTGGGAACCGACGCGAAGACCGGCGCCAGGCCTTTCGAGGCCCGGTTTCCTTCCAGCTGGTTCGTCTCCCGGAGCGTCGACGGCGCGCGCCACATCGTCGATTCGCTGCCGCCCCAGGATCGGGGGTGGACAGAACCCCCAACAGTGACGCGTCGATTAGTGAATTGTCCGTTTTCGGTTTTCGAGAGGGCGCCGTGGCCGTCATTTTCCAGGCCTGCGCCCACCAGGTTTGGGCCTCAGGTCGTTTTCACTAAACCACGTTTTACTAAAGGGGGGTCTGTCCATCCCCGACAGGAGCAGCTGCCCGCCCTCCTGTCGCAGTACAAGCTGAGCCAGCTCCACGAGGCTGGCCTGCAGCCCGTCGTGGGGGAGGCGCTGCTGAGCAGCTACATCGGAGATTTCGCGGCCATGAACCTGCACTGGACGGAGCGTGTTGACCGCAGCACGCAGCAGCGCGTCTTGACGAAGGCTCTCCAGCGGTTCCTGATGCATGAGCAGGGGCGGCAGAAGTTGGACTCCATCCTCCAGGTCCACCAGGTGTTCTGGAGCAGGGAGCGGCAGATCGATTTCGTCATGCAGCTCTTGAACGCAGTGCCTACCGCAGTGGCAGCGACGGAGAAGCTCATCGAGGCAGCCGACCTCAACACGTTCAACCTCGACATCTTACTCCTAGCACACACCACCTTGATTGACGAACTCAGATCGCCAGGTCCTGCTGGAGCTGGAGGCGCCGACGAGACCAAACAGATCTACCGCAATTGGCTGGAGCGGAAGATGGTAGTTGCCAGTTTGAGGAAGGATGTCTTGCAGCAGCAGCAGGCGAATGGGAAGCTAGACGCCCTCGCACAGTTGAAAACAGATAAAGAACCGCGCTTGGAGACGCTAGCGCTCGTTCTCCAGCACGTGGCAATACCTTTTAAGTTGCCGCTTCAGCTCGTGAAGCAATTCCTCCTGGAGCTGCCCGACCGGAAGGTCCGACAGTCTGCGTCCCTGCTGGCCATCTTGCAGATGGCACAGCGCGTCTCCGGCAGTGAGTTCCCAGGCGGGCTGGAAGCCAGTGGTGCTGGGGCAGCAAGATTCGGAAAGGGCTAGGACGAGGAGAAGTCCGTTCCCCAGAGTTCTGGAGCGCTCTCAGAGCGTTCCAAGACGCTCTCAGAAGACCGCGGCGCCCGATACATCCTCCAGATCTGCCAGATCTCAGAGATTCTTGATTTATCATCACCCTGATTTGTCCTCGTCCTGACTCTGTCTTACTTCTCCTTGAGTCGAAGAGGACAAACGTGTATAAACGTAAATTTGTTCGGAATTCCGCAAGGATTTCTCGGATCGGCGCTGGGCCCCCCTGGCGGCGCCTCTGGCGCCTCCCCTCGCCATCGCCACGCGCCAGGGAGGGGGTTCCAGCGCCGATCAAGGAAAACCGCACGGAGCTCCTAAAAATTATATGTTCATGCCGTCGGTTGCAGCCCCATGTCTGAGGTGCCCTCTGCGAGGACTGGCTGTTGGACGTGTGCCTGCGGGACACGGAGGCCAGGGAGGATCTGGATGATGGGTGCCTCGGGTTGGCGTGCGCGCTCGCAGCGGGCCTGCCTGTCACCGTGAACCCCAGGGCGCCAGGCGGCGTGTCCGCGGGCGACGTAGGGTCGTGGAACGAGCAGCAGGAGCCAGGCATCGATCTAGGCCTCTCCGATGGGGTCCGAGTAGATGGAGTCGGAGGATCGCGCCGCATCGTCGGCGATGCGGCTCGAGAAGCCCGAGTTGCTCCACGTCGACGTCACCGATGCACCGGCGATGCGGCGCGATCCTTGGACTCCCTCTACTCGGAGCCCTCTTTGGAGGCCGCTTATCGAAGGCCCCCCAACCAAAGAGGTGTGGGCATCATCCGTCGCAGGCCCGCGCGGAGCTCCCGGGTCGACGCCGAGGGGCCCCCTCGAGGCCCCCGCGCCTGGGAGGGGGCACACGTCGAGGGAGGGGTCCGGCGCCGCCCAGAGAACGCCGGGCGGGTTTGTGTTGGGTGTGTTGGGTGTGTTACGCGGGAGTCATTTTCACGAAGATCACATTCTGCATTCATAGCATCCATAGACACGTCTGGAAACCCGAGATCGCCGTCGGGTGCTGACTGCAGTCCTTTTATATTGGAAGCTCGTTCGTTCTATACTCCCTACTCACGTTCCTCCTTTGTTGTCTTCCTCAGCTCTTAGCGTTTACTGCTGCCTAAGTGTGGTCGCCAGTAGGCGCCAGTAGTCGCTAGTAGATTCCAATAGGCGCCAATGGGCGCCAGCAGGCGCTAATAGACGTTGACAGGGGCATTGAGGCATGCGTTGTCCTGATTTGTTCAATGCAGGGCCCCTGGAGGTCCCGGCCCCTTCCCCGGGGCCAGTTTCTCACCCTGAGCAGGCAGTTGTTGGCCGGTCGGTCGCGGGGCCACGCGAGGGCCCCCAGAGGCCCACAAGTACCAAAGCCTGCCCGCCGTGATCTTCTGCACGACGCGATCCCGTTTGGGTAGTGTCAAGTCGGGCATGTCCCTCTACAGGGGGAACTTTCAAACATAGTGAATCTAGATGCCTGGGGACGATGCCTCGACGATCTTTGATGATTTTTGTGTATGTTTGACTGTGTTCGACTTTTCGCCCAGATCCCGCCTGTAGGAGGACAGGCCCGACCCAAGGGTGGTGTAAAACAGGGCAAGGACCGGGATAAATCGCTCCAGAGCGTTCCGGAGCGCTCTCAGATCGTTCCAGAACGCTCTGGAGCGGCCGCGGCGCCCAATACATCCTCCAAACCCGCTGATTCTCAGAGATTTCGAGTTATCCCGATCCGATGTTGTCCCGATCTTCGCGTCGTTTTATGGTGTGGCCTCCGAAGGCATCGCGACGCTCCCCGGCAGGGCGGGCGCCGTCCCGCGGTCCTCTTGCTTCAGCCTCGCGCTGATGCGGAAGCTGCTGCTCGGGGCGCCCGGGGGGCGGGCTCGGCAGCGCGCCGCGGCCGCGATCGAGGGCCTCCTGAGGGAGGTCGAGGCGAAGGAGGGGCACTGCGACACCGCCCTCGCTGCGAGGTGCCGTCGGACGGGGCCAGGGCTGGCTCTCGGTAGAGCGGGTCGTGTGATGGCTTCGAGGGCTGTTTGCCCTTGCGGCCGGCAGACGAGATGATGACGATGGCGATGATAATGACGATAGTGATGAGGATGAGGATGAGGATGATGAGGGTGAGGGTGAGGATGAGGATGATGATGCTGATGAGGATGGTGATGATGCTGATGTTTATGATGATGCGGATGATGATGCTGGTGGTGATGCTGATGTTGATGATGACGGTGATGATGATGTTGATATCATGATGGTGGTGGTGGTGATGCTGATCATGACCATACTCATGATCATGATGCTGATGCTGATGCTGATGCCGATGGTGGTGATGCTGATGCAGATGGTGATGATGCTGTTGCGGATGCTGAGGATGTTGATGCTGATAATGCTGAGAAAGAGCGTTTTCTGTGGTCGCTTGGAGGGGGGGGGAAACGGGACCCCCCCCTCTTGGATGCAGGGGGATTGGGGGGTTCGAACCCCCCTCCCCTACTTCTCCTTTCTCCCTCTCCTCGGCAGGCGGCGGCGGCGGCGGCAACGACGATTTCTATTTCTGGGCCGTCGCTGGCGCCTGCGGCGGCGGGCGGCGGCGGCGAGGAGCGTCGACGAGGACGACGGTGGTGGTGGTGGTGGTGTTGGTGGGTTGTGGTGGTGGTGCTGGCGGTGGTGATGGTGGTGGTTGTGGTGGTGGTGATGTGGTGGTTTGTTGTGGTGGTGGCGGTGGTCGTTGTGGTGGTGTGGTGGTGGTGGTGGTGGTGTTGGGGGTGGTGGTGTGGTGGTGGTGTGGTGGTGGTTTGGTGTGGTGGTGTGGTGGTGGTGGTGGTGGTGGGTTGTGGTGGTGGTGGTTCGGTGGTGGTGTGGTGGTGGTTTGTGGTGGTGGTGGTGGTGGTGAGTGTGGTGGTGGCGGTGGTTTGTGGAGGTGTTGCTGGTGGTGGTGGTGTTGGCGGTGGTGGTGGTGGTTTGGTGGTTTGTGGTGGTGGTGGTGGTGGGTCGTGCTGCTTGTAGTGGTGGTGGTTGTGGCGGTGGTGGTGGTGGCGTGGTAGATTGTGGTTGTGGTAGTGGTGGTAGTGGTGGTGGTGGTTTTTTTGGTGGTGGTGGTGGTGATGGTGAGTTGTGGTGATGGTGGTGGTTGTGGTGGTGGTGGTTGCTGTGGTGGTGGTGGTTGTGTGGTGGATTGGTGGTGGTGGTGGTGGGTTGAGGCGGTGGTGGTGGTCGTAGTGTCGTAGTGGTGGTTGTGGTGGTGGTGGTGGTGGTGGTGGTGGTGGTGGTGGTGGTGGTGGTGGTGGTGGTAGTGGTGGTCATCGTCGCTGCGTCCCCGCCGTCGCCGGCGCCAGCGCCGGCGCTGCTGGCCGCCGCCAGCGTCGGCGCCGGCGCCGGGGGGGCGGTGTTTGAACCCCCCCCCCCCCTCGTCGCCAGGGGGGGTGGGGGAGGATTTGAACCCCCCCCCACCCTTTGGGCTGCCTGTGGTCATCGTCGCTGCGTCCCCGCCGTCGGCGCTGCTGGCGGCCGCCGGCGCCGGCGCCGGGGGGGCGGGGGAGTTCAACCTCCCCCCTCCCCTTGGGAGGGGGGGGGGTTCGGGAGGGGGGGGGTTTTGGGGGAGGGGAGTCCCCTTGGTTTTGATCGACGGCGCCGAGTGTTGGGGGGGGTGGGGGTCACCCCCCGGTTCGAAACGCGCCGCCGAATGTTCCCAATGCGAGCGCCCGTGAAACGCGTTCTCTCGATGCTGGAAGTGATGATGGTGCTGATAAGGGTGATGAGGATGAGGATGGTGATGCTGATGAGGATGGTGATGGTGATGGCGATGATGATGGTGATGATGATGATGCTGGTGCTGATAGTAATGGTGATCATGAGGATGATGCTGATGATGCTGATGATTATAACCGTATTTTTCAACAATGGTGATCACGATGGCGGGGATGGTTGTGATGATGATGCTCTTGCTGCTGGTGATGATGGTGTTGATGATGATGACGATGAGGAGGAAGAGGAGTAGCAGGAGGACGATTGTGTTTGAGGATGAGGACGTTTGTGTTTGACGATAGTGCTTGAGGATGAGAAAGCTCTCGGACTGAGCGCTCCTGGACGCTCTGAGGAGGCCACAGCGCCCGACGCATCTTCCAGAGCCGCGGTATGTCAGAGATCATTGTGCTCTCCTCATCCGAGTCTGTCCTCGTCATGGCTTGTTCTTATACGCATCGGAGAGCAAGCCATGGCATAGACCTAAACTTCTGGAGGCCCGCGAGGATGTCTCGGATCGGGGCGGGGCTGGAAGGGGGCCGCAGGGTGGCCCCAGCGCCGATCCGAGAACTCTGCGCGGATCTCCGAGAGCTCATATGTATGTCACTGTTACAGTCAAGCCGCATGGGAAGGATGGGCAACCATTCCAAGGGTACCCTCATCCTGAGGTTACCCTTGCATCCTTACATCCTCAGTCCATTCTCGGCCACTTCCGTGGGCCGCTCCCCGTTCGCAAAGTTTCGACACGACCTTCCAAGGCTCTTGCATCCTCATCGCGCATCCTTCTCATAGGGGTTGGCTGTAGTTCACCTGAGGTACGCCGCGTGTTTGGAGGAGGAGTCTGCCGCTGCCCTCTCGCAGGCCAAGGGCCCGCAGGAATGGCCAGAGCTGACGCTGCAGGGCGTCTTCGCGCAAGGGGAGGGTGCCTCGTTGGCCCACAGGCTACAGGACATCGGCAGGATCCGGTGGATGCTCGCCAGGTGCTCGAGGCTGCTGTGCCAGAGCCCCGTGGACAAGGAGGCGTACGAGCTCTGCATGGCCAGGTCGGACCGGGCTAGGATCAGGATCCCGCCAAGGGGGTGTGTGCCCCGGGGGGCGGTCAGTTCGATCAGTATTTGTACCGAGCCGCCCAAAGCAGATGCCCCCCCAGCCGCCGGCAGCTCCCGATAGCTGCCCATAGCTGGAACATGCGGGGGGCACCTGTTTGCGGCAGATCGGTGCACCAGCGGGTCGGACTCATGCCCCCCCTCCGGGTCACCTCCTTTTGTGGTGGATCCCGATAGGAGGGGGAGAAGTCCGTTCCAGAGCCTTCCGGAACGTTCCTCAACGTTCTGAGGAGGCCGCGGCGCCCGAGACACCCTCCAGAGCCGCCGGATCTCGGAAATCCCCGCTTCCTGCCCGAATGTGTCCTCGCCCTGGCTCCGTCCTCCCAGGGTCGACGGGCTCCTGCACACCTCGGACAGGGACCTCGTGCCGGTCAGCCGGTCGATGCGGCTGTACCTCCTGAAGTGCATCGAGCGCGCCCGGGGGGTGTCGTTCGCCCGGGGCCTGCTCGCGGAGCCGCCGCTGGGCGAGGCGAACTGGGTGCACAAGTGGCGGGGCGCGCACGACATCGACTTCGAGAAGTTCATCGGGGCCGCGCTGGTGCCGAAGTGGAACCCCTTCATCGGGGAGGACGGCAGCGAGGAGTACAAGACCGCGAAGGGCGCGCTCACGGAGATGATGATCTCGCACTCGATCGAGAAGCTGGAGAGACTGGCGCGCGAGATAGGCGCGCACCCCGAGGAGCAGCGCAAGCGTGACCTCGGCGGCCTCCTGCTGGCCCTCTGCCAGGGGCCAGGTCTCCACTCGGCGCTGGAGAGCCCCGGCAGGCACTCCCCCTGGCGGAAGAAGCTGAACGCGTGGCTGGCAGAGACCACGGACCTCGCTGTGAGCACGCAGGAGCCGAGTAGGGGATCCACTGCAGAATCGGAGGTTGATAGACCTCCTACCCTGACACGTCGATTAAGGAATTGGCCGTTTTCGGTTTGCGAGAGGGCGTCGCGGCCGTCATTTTTGCGGGTCCAGGTCCGTCGGTTTCGGTCCCAGGCCGTTTTCACGAGGGGGAGGTTTACTAAAGGGAGGTTTGTCCACCGCCAGCAGAGTTGGCTCACCCCAATCTTGACTTGCCCGCCGAAGCTGCGCAAACATGCGTAGAATGCTCTGTAGATCTCCGGAGCTTTCTACGTGCTTTGTCGCAGATTCGGAGGGAATATCGACTCTGGGGGGTGACTCGATTCTGCAGTCGATCCCCTGCTCGAAGGAGCGGATCCTGCTGCGGATCTTCGCGGGCGACGACGCCCCCCTCAGGAGCTGCGCCAGTGCCGACCAGGAGTCGCTCGCGCCCTTTGCCGTCTCGGGCGGCCGCTCGATGGACGACCTGCTGCGGTGGCGATGGCTGGCGCACCTCGCCAGCGCCTGCATCTCGGCGCCGCCGACGTCGCTGCTTGCGGCGCTCACGACGATCATGCTGTCTCCAAGGTCGGAGCTGGCGGGGGGGAGGAGGAGGTGGCCCAGCGCTGGTTCCAGCCCGCCCACGGGGGAAGAAGGGGAAAGGGGCACCCTCGCCACCAAGGTTGGACGCGGCTCTAAAAAATGCGCCTCGTCCCCCCTCTGGGCTTATCCAGCTCAGACCCCCTTGCCGCCTCCAACTCCAAGGTGCGTCGCATCAGCCGACGGGGGAGCCGTTTATTTGCCAGGTATGGACGAGGACATCCGGAAATCGGTCATGAAGGCTCTACTGGACAGGGGAGAGAGCATTTGGCGGTTCAAGTCTCACTGGTACAAGTGTGCCTGCGGGTACAGCTTCTTCATCGGCGAGTGCGGGAGGCCCATGGAGGTGGCGGAGTGCCCTGGCTGCCGGGCTCACATAGGCGGTCAGGACTTGGGCGTCGCGTAATGAGGGGCGACAAATAGGGGGCAGGGAGGGCTGCCGAAAAAGGACCCGCTAGGGCCCCTAGATGGACCCGTCGGGCCCAAGAGAGGGGGCTTCTAGTGTCCGAACATAACACCTTTCTTCCCCCTCGTTTTACCGCCCCCCTTTTGTGGCGAATATTCATACCCATATCCAGTGCGTGTCGGACTTTCTTGGAAGGGGTGCCGCAAGACCGACGCGCACTGGGAATGGACAAACATTGAGCCTCCAGGGGCAAGTTTTTTATCCATCTGCAGTGCGACTCGGGCTTCTGGTGAAGGGAGCCCGAAACTCCAGGCCGCAAAGGAGCTGGACACAAGCCCTGCCCGCACCGCCGAGCCACGCCCGAAAGGACCACCACAAGACCAAGAACACGAGCGAGGACGACGAGGCCGACCGCTCGCCCGCGGGCTACGTGCTGCCCCCCGCCGAGAAGGACGAGAAGAGCGTCTGCTTCCGGGAGGTCCCCGTGGGCTCTGCCCGCGCCGTGCGGCTGCTGCTCCACGGGTGCATGTTCTGCGCCGAGTTGCCTCGACACGCCCAGTTTGGAGCGCAACACTAGGGAGAGAAACGAGTGCAGAAGCATACGCGTTCGACGATACGCGCGGAGTTCTTCTCAGATCTGAGCTGGACCCCCCCTCCCCGGCGCGCGGAGCGCGCCAGGGGCTGCGCCGGAGGCGCCGCCAGGGGGCCCCAGCGCCGACCCAAGAAATCCGCGCGGAGCGCCAAGAGTCTGTGTTTTGCCTTTCTTTCTTCTCTTCGGCGTCTGGTTGCCCGTACCGGGCCTCGGGGCTGTCAGAAGACGGCTCAGGATGAAGAGCCGGTCCCGGGGCAGGCTGCGGCAGGGGTCCAGACCTCTGGGGATCAACAGCGTCGCAAGCAAATCCCGAAGTCTTGAGGCCTAGGGAGGAGGTTAGGGTGAGGGGGGAAGGCTTCTCGCTCAGCGTGCGCGCTTGGCGGCCTGGCTAAGAAAAGAAGGCTTCTCAGAAGCAGCCCTGCTTCTTAGAAGGCGCTGGCCTTGTCTATAGATGCAAGGCTGGCGGCTTCGAAGAAGCAGCCTCCTTATACAGGAAGGCTTCCCCCCTGCCCCTGCCCTCCTCCTCCTCCTCCTCCTCCTCCTCCTCCTCCTCCTCCTCCTCCTCCTCCTCCTCCTCCTCCTCCTCCTCCTCGGGCTTTTCGCTGCTTTGGGGCCTCGGGGGGCCCTCGCCGGGCCCAGGGTCCGTCAATCGGGGCGGCCAAGAGGGGGGCGTCCAAGAGGGGGAGGAGGCTGTGCGCGCCGCCAACACGTACCGCGCTTAAAACGTCCGTGTCAATGATTTTGCGTGTTGGCTGAGCGTATTGGCCCACGTTTGGGCGAACGTATCGCGTCACACTTATGTTGTCGGTCCACTTGTTGAGCTCCGCATCGATGCGCCACGTGATGATTGCTGCGTTTCGGGGCATCCAAGGTTCTGCGGGGTGGCGTGCCACCTCGGCGGCAAGAGCGGCCGGATCTACCAGCACCTGGTGAACCCAGACTCCATGTGCCCGATGAAGGAGGGCGGCGAGTCGGAGGCCAAGTTCCTGGGGGACCATTTCAGGAACGACTGGGAGCAGATGGCGACGGTGCCAGCAGGGCTCGTCTCGATTCCTCCGCTGCGATTCTGTTCGATTTCGATGGTTGTCGATTCCGATTCGAGTCGACTTCCGATTCCGATTTGAATTCCAGGTTTTTTTTTGATTTCCGCCGATTCAGCTTCTCCCCACTTGGCTGCCGTATTCCGCCGATCCGATTCGTCTCGATCGCCGATCCGACCTCTTGCTTCGACTCTGGGATCTCCTGCGGTGCTCGGGAGCAACACCGAGAACCTCAGCATGGCGCTGCACATGCTCCTCCAGAGCATGGCCGCCCAGGCCGTCGACGCGCCCGTGGCGAGGAGCGGTGGCGCGGCGAGCTCCACCGCCGGCCGGCCCGGGGGCGCCACCCGCTGGGACAGGTTCGACATGGAGAGGCGGGACAGCTGGGAGGCGGACGGGGGAGTGCCAAGTCCCAGAACCAGGCATGATCGCGATGTAAAAGAATCAGGGCGGGAGGTTTTGGACTATTTTCGGCCCCGGGGGGCCCTCGCCAGGCCTCGGGACCGTCAAAAGACCACTCCGGACGAAACACCGGTCCCAGGGAAAGGGTCGGGATTTCCAGGGACGTTGTCCTGGAAAAAACAGGACGTCGCATGTCTGGGGAGAGCCAACGAGTTGAAAAAGCCAGACTGAGTTCTTCCTTTCTTGTCGGCCATAGCTAGAGGACCTCGCCGGACCCTGGGGCCGTCAAGAGACGGCTCAGGGTGAAGGGCCAGTCCCCGGGAGTGTGTTGAGACTTCCGGGGACTCCGTATTGCGAAAATCAGGGATTCGGATGTTTTGGGTCGGGGCAGCCTCAGATCCGGGCGTGGAACGTGCTTCACACGTGGTGGATTCGCCCGGTTTCGGGCCCCAGGTCCCGCACGGGTCGATCCAGCTCGACGCATGCCGCAGAAGTATGGGGCCTATTGACGAGCGAAGAACGCACCCATATCAGATCCACAGGGTTCGGAGGGAGGAGGACTGGCTATATATATATATATATATATATATATATATATATATAGTACGGATGCAAGTTGCCGGACCCCAGGGGAGGCTCCCGCTCGAGCGGGGACCCCTATCCGACAGCACGCACCCACATCGGCGTGACCCCAATACATTGAAACTACGTGTGCGTCGCCACCCCAGGGGCGACGCGCGCACCGAGAAATCTTACAGTACATGCGCCGTGGCGGGCGCTTTCTGGCCACACCGCTCGGGAAAGGATACACTGCAAGATGTGTATATTGTTTACGCTTCGCGAGTCCCCGCCAGCCCATTCAGGAGCTCTGCCCATGCGAGCTGACGGGAAAAGAAACGAAGAGAGACATATCGTGAAACAAAGCGGGCAACCAGGGTGAACAGAGAGGCGTCTTGGGCGCTGGGGCTCTTTGAGGGCGCCTTGGGGCCCTCATGGGGCCCTCTTGGGGCTATCGGGGCCCACTTGGGAGCTATTGAGCGCCTCCTGGGGCAATCTTGGAGACCATCGATCAAATGTGGGGGTCCTAAATTCTAGACGCTTCGCGTATCTTTACCGGCACTCACTCCACCGGCCTCCCATTGCCTCCACTGCAGCAGGACCCCCCCTGACAGGCTGCGCAGGCGCTTCACCACTAGACGGCGGTGCCCCCCACGCCTGCGGATCTCTTCACTTCAGGGATCGGCATCGCAGTTGCGCCTTGGGCACAGCCGCATGGCTCCACCTGGCACTGGGAGGCGGATTACTGAGGTCTGGGCGCCGTGTGGTTCAGCCGGCTACGCCTGTGCAGCCCTCGGTTTTGAATGCAGAGCATTTTGTTCAGTGCATGTGCAACTGCACGCTTGTTGTGCAATTGGCTTTGTGCCGCCCGCCCTGGACATTGCCTCTTGCCGCCAGACCGTTGTCGCGCGGCCGCCGACCCAAAGAAGTATCCCCACCGGCCTTACAGAAACGATGTCCAGGTGAGTTGAGGTGGTCAGGGAAGTGCGGGAGCAAGGAGGGGGACGGCCGAGCCGTGCGAAGGAGGGGGGAGGAGAAGGAGGAGGCTGGATGGATGGATGGATGAGGGAGTGGGCTGGAGGAAAATGAATAGGAGGAGGAGGAGGAGGAGTAGGAGGAGGAGGAGGAGGAGGAGGATAATGAGTAGGAGGAGGAAAGAGAAGCAGGAGAAGGAGGGCAAGCAAAAGGGCCAGAGGTCTCTTGGATGCCTCTCGTAGCCTCTTGGGATATCTCTTGGGCGCTTCTTGGAGGCCTCTTGGGACGCCTTGGGGGTCTCTTGGCGGTCCTGCGGGGCTCTTGGGCGTCTTGGGTGCCTCGGGGGGGCCGCTTGGGGTCATCTTAGGGGCCTCCTGGGGGCCTCGTGGGGGCCTCATGGGGCCATCCTGGGGCCATCTTGGGGCCTCTTGGGGCCTCCTGGGCGCTTCTTGGGGCCATCTTGGAGGACATCGATCAACGACGAAGGTTCCTTTGCCCCTCTAGAGCCTCTAAAATCGCCTCTTGGGGCGCCCTTGGAAGGCTCTCTTTGGGCCGCCTTGGGACCCTATCGGGTCCCTCTTGGGGTCCTGTTGGGCGATCTTGGAGCCATCTTGAGGCCTCGGATGGACTTCGGAAGCGAAAAGGCGAGAAGGCGAACATCATTGGTTTGCCTTAGGGTTTGGAAGGATTTTGGCCTCAGGCCTCCTCGGATGTCTCGGAGGCCTCTTGGAGCCGTTTTGGAACCTTCTTGGAGCATTTTGGAAGCCATCTTGAGGCACCTTGTGTTATCTTGAGCCATCTCAAAGGTCATCTTGGGCTCTCAGAGGCCCTCTTGGAGCCGTCTTGGGCCATCTTGGACGCTCTGACCGCTCGCTACCGCCCCCGTCCAGGTCCTGGAGAGGGGGTGGGGGGGAGGGGTAAACCCCTTCCCAAAGGGGAAGAAAGGGGGTTGGAACAGGAAACGCTCTAGACCACCTACGCCCAGGGGATTGGTGGGATTTGCCTGCCCCCTTCCAGGGCCATCGAAATAGCCTTTTGGGGCCCTCTTGGGGGGATCTTGGGCGCTCTTGGGGCAGTCGTGGGGGCCTTTTGGGCCCTTCTTGGAGCTCTCTTGGGCCATCTTGAGGCCTCAAAAACGCATCGGAAGCGAAAAGGCGAGAAGGCAAACATCATGGATGTCCTGTCGGTTGTTGAAGGATCTTGGCTTCTCGGGGTGGTCCTGAGGGGTCGCCAAAACACTTGGATCCGTCTGGTGGTCTTCTTGGGGGCTCTTGGAGGCATGTTGTGAGCTATCTTGAGCTTTTCACCTGTGTGAGTCATACTCCATATAACGGGGTTCCACATGATTTCGGAGGCTCCAGACATAATGTCGCTGGATTCCAACCGCCCCTCCAGAGCAGCAGGCAGCATGATGACATCATGAGGACAGAGACGGACGATCTGTGAATGTTTAGCTCGAGAGGCCTCTCGCGCAGTCAAAACGGTTTCGCTTCCCTCACCCTGGCAGGCAAAGCCAAAGTTGGGAAGAAGGGCGAGGAGAAGTGGCGCAAGAGGTTTGACACTTCGATTCGATACGGTCGAGGACCTAGACAGCTTCGGTACTGATTGACAAAGGGATGTTCCGAAATGGGCGCGGTAGGTGCATGCGAACGCGAGTGAGGGGTGTGCCGAAATGAGCGCGGTAGCACCATGCGAGCGCGGACATTGGAACCTTCGGTGGAGCTCTCTATGGGGCCACGAAGCGTATGAGGGCTGTGCCGACGTGGGCGTGGTGGGCGCATGCGAACGCAGTCATTGGGGCCTTCGGTGGAGCTCCCCACGCGGCCACGAAACGTGTAACGGGTGTGTTGATATTGGCGCGGTGGGCGCCATGCGAACGCAGGACAGCCGGGGCCCTCGGTGGAGCCCCCCGTGGGGCTACGAAGCTTGCGAGGTATGTGCCGACATGGGTGCGGTGGCGCCATGCGAGCGCAGCCATTGGGCCGCTCAGTGGAGCGTGCTACAGGGCCGCGAAACGTCTGATGGGCGTGACGGCATGTGCACGCTGGTGCCATGCGCACGGCCCTCGGTGGAGCAACCTGTGGGGCCGCGAAACGCGTGAGAGTGTGCCGAAATGGGCGCGGCGGGCGCCTGCGAGCGCAGCCGCCGGGGCCCTCGGAGGGGCTGCTTATAGGGCCACGAAACGTGTGAGGGGTGTGCCAACATGGGTGCGGCGGTGCCATGCGAGCGCAGCCGGTGGGGCCTTCGGTGGATATCCCTATGGGCTACAAAACATGTGACGGGCGTGCCCGAACGGGTGGGGTGGTGCCATGCACGCGCAGCCATTGGGGCCTCGGTGGAACTCCCCATGGAGCCACAAAAAGTGTGGGTTGTGTGTGTGTGGTCAACGCGCGTGTGCTTGTTAGTGCGCTAGCGCGTAAGAGCGTTAGCGTGTTAGTGCGATTGCGCGTTCGCGCGTTAGTGCGTTCGCGCGTCAGTGCGTTAGCGCGTTAGTTTGTTCGTGTGTTCGTGTGATGGTGTGTTAGTGTGCTAGTATGATAGTGTGTTCGTGTGTTAGTGGGTTACTGCGTTAGTGCGTTAGTTTAGTAGTGTGGTCGTCTGGCCGGGTGCTAGTGTTGTAGTTCATTAGTGTGTTCGTGCGTGAATGCGTTGGTGTGTTAGTGCGTTCGTGTGGTAATTGGTTAGTGTGTTAGTGTGCTAGTGTGTTAGCGTGGTATGGTGATAGTGTGTTATTGTGTGAGTGTGTTTGCGTGTTGTTCGTGTGTGCTTTTGTGTGTGGTTGTGTTTGCGTGTGTGTGTGTGTGTGTTTGTATGTGTGTGTGTGTGTTAGTGCGTTAGTGGGTTTGTGTGTGTGTGCGTGTGTGTGTGTGTGTGAGTGCGTGCGTGCGTGAGTGCGTGCGTGCGTGTGTGTATGTGCGTGTGCGTGTGCGTGTGCGTGTGCGTGTGCGTGTGCGTGTGCGTGTGCGTGTGCGCGTGCCTGTGCGCGTGTGCGTGTGCGTGTGCGTGTGCGTGTGCGTGCGCGTGCGCGTGCGTGCGTGCGCGTGTGCGTGCGTGCGTGCGTGCGTGCGTGCGTTCGTGCGTGCGTGCGTGTGTGTGTGTGTGTGTGTGTTGTTGAGTCTGTGTTGTGTCGGTGCGTGTGTGTGTGTGCCGACATGGGCGCGGTGGCGCCAGTCGAGCGCAGCCATTGTGGCCCTCGGTGGAGCTGCCTACAGGGCCACGAAACGTGTGAGGGGTGTGCCGGCATGGGCGCGGTGGTGCCATGCGAGTGCAACCACAGGGGCCTTTGGTGGAGCTCCCTTTGGGGCCACGATGGGTGTGAGGGGCGTGCCGAAATGGTCGCGGTGGAACCGGATGCGGGCGTTTCGATTGGCGCCTTCGGTGGAGAGCCACGAAACATGTGAGGGATGTCCTTAAATAGAAACGCGGAGGGCAGAGGCTGACATGGACGGAGGGAGGAGGGGGTCAGCGGGGGAGTGGAGAACGCGGGGCGCTGTCTTCTTCAAACGAGGACCAAGCCCCACAGAACGGTTGGCAAAACATTGGGGCGCCGTTCCTGACGGGCGCCGATGTGATTGCTGTAATCCGCGGCCCCAGAGGCCCCGACTCCTCCCCCAAGGGTAGCTTCGCGCCTGGGATCCGTCTTTCATGGTTGCAGGGCCGGGAAGCGGCCCCCGAGAGGCCGACATCGGAAAAGCAGCGCGGGTTGCAAAAAGTCATGCCGTCGGAGATCTCGGATGGTCGCCGCCTCTTGGCCCCGAGAGAGGCCACGCTGGAGAGCGCATACCTCGCGGACATGGTCAGGAGCCACGGCGACCGCACGCGGGAGCTGCACCAGCGCTGGGGCGGCGCAGCGGAGGACGGCCGGTTCGTGGCGGAGCTGATGGAGACGGTGGACGTGCGGGACTTCTCGAAGGCGCTGAGGCGCAGCAGCATGCCGCAGCTCTGGTCCTTCCGGGAGCCCGTCACGCTGGCCTCGCTGGGCACACACGTCGGGGTGGAGGCCTCCCGTGGAGGAGACATTCATACCGCTTCTCGTCCTAGATTGCCCTCGTCGCAACGGCTGGATGCTCCTCAAAACCTAATCAGAACGCACCCCAGAGGTCTGTGAAGTAGACAGCGGCATGTACATATATATATACATATATATATATACATGTATGTATATACATTTATACAGACAGATACACACACACACACTTGTTTATCCTCCAAGGCCAACGCCAAGGACTCGCTGCCCGTGCTGTGCGCGGTCCTGCAGCAGCCCCTCGGCAGAGTGCTGCCAGCGCTCGGCTGCCTCGTGGGGATCTTCGAGTGGCACGCCCTCGTCGCGAGCCACTTCAGCGGGCGCATCACCCGCACTCAGGCGGGCCAGATGGTGGTCGGAGAGGTGATCGAGGGCCTGCCGTCTGCCCTGAGGGTCAGGTGGCAGCGCGCCTTCAGACGCCTGGAGCTGGCCTGGCGCATTGCTTGGCCGAGCGTGCAGCGGCACGAGTGCCTTGAGATCCCAGAGCATTTGAGGAACGTGAAGCTTGGATTGCACTCGTCGATGGTGTATTGCATCGCCGACGAGAAGAACGAGGGCATTTGCCCGCTGGCGCTGACCCAGTGGCTGGTGGAGAGGCACAACGAGCTCGTGCAGATCGTGGGCAACGCGACGGGCTATCCTGGGAAGAAGGTGTCCTCCAGGATGTTGGCCCTCCACGACGTGGTCGTGTACAGCGAGGAGGAGCTGATGAGATTCGTGCGGAGCCGCTGCGTCACCTACAGCGGTGGCGGCAAGCTGAAGTTCGACTTCTCGCAGGTTGAGCGACACCTGCGGCGAGCTCAGCTGCCCTGACACGCCCGCTGTGAAGGGCAGCGAGTACCGTGCCGTTTTTTATACATGCTCCGCGTGCGGATCACGTATTACAAATGCAGGGATTTAGTATGAATAGCAACGATGGGTTCATGCGTAAATGCATTCATAAATTATGTCAGATCCCATAGTTTCAAAAGTCCTCTGTATTAAAAACTGCCCTGTACCGTGCGCAAAACGCCCACGTGAACGCGTGGCGTGCTGGCTCGGCACGTGCTGGCTCACGGTGTGGCGGGCGTGTGGCGCCGAACGTGCGCGTCTTCCGGGTCCTTGGCATCGCTCGGACGTGCGCACCTTTTCCTTCGGCGAGGACCAGCGAGGAGCATCCTTGATCATTTGGCGAAAAAACAACGCACGAAGCCGAAAAAAAAACAGGGAATGGACGCCCGAGCGATGGCCAGTATCCGTGCTGAGTCCCTTGCCAGCGCGCCGCGGGTTGCGCGCTGCGTATCGGGGCGGCTAAGGCGGCAGGAGCTGGCGCGGCCCGCCCTGGAGATGGAGATGCGGGCGTTCGGCTGGCTGGGCGAGTCCTTGGCCGTCAGCGGCGAGCTGAGGGCCACGATCGCCCAGCGCGGGCTGAGCCACGCGGTGGAGGAGCTCCGACCATAACGCAGAACCGCAGCCAGAGCAGAGCTGACTTCTCTGGAGGGCCCCATCGGGGGCGAACCCTTCGGCCTCGACATGAACAAGAGAACACTTTGGTTTTTGGTGGTGGTCGATTTGGTCGTCCTGGAGGCCCGCCGACCACAACCAGCACTAAGCTGGCCTCGGTGTTCTGACGATTGCTGGCATGCGCAAGGTATCCCCGAGGGGCTTGTCCTCGATGTGGTTGGGGTCGCTTGCTGTCCCCGCAGGAGCGTATCCGCAGCGAGCTGACGTCGCCCGCCATGGCAGGCCTGGTGCTGCAGAAGGTTCGAAGGAGCGCCAGGAGGAGACAACGGCGGCCCCAGAGCTCTGACGACATGGGTGTTTGCATGCGGGTGTTTTCATCGGTCTGCTTAGCTTCGACCGGAAGAGGTGCGCTCTCGACCCGCGAATCAAAAAAGTGTTTTCCTCGGTCTCAAGCCCTGGGGCCATCATCGGGCCCCGGGGCCATCCAAAACACCCCTCCAGGGCGAAAGTCTAGCCCCCCCGCGTTCCTTCCTCCTCCTCCTCCTTCCTCCTCCTCCCCTTCCTCCCCCCTCCTCCCCCTCCCACACCCATTCTGGCACACCCCTCACACGTTTCGTGGCCCCATAGGGAGCTCCACCGAAGGCCCCAGTGGCTGCGCCCGCATGCGGTTCCACCCCCCATTCTGGCACACCCCTCACACGTTTCGTGGCCCCATAGGGAGCTCCACCGAAGGCCCCAGTGGCTGCGCCCGCATGCGGTTCCACCCTCCATTCTGGCACACCCCTCACACGTTTCGTGGCCCCATAGGGAGCTCCACCGAAGGCCCCAGTGGCTGCGCCCGCATGCGGTTCCACCCCCCATTCTGGCACACCCCTCACACGTTTCGTGGCCCCATAGGGAGCTCCACCGAAGGCCCCAGTGGCTGCGCCCGCATGCGGTTCCACCCCCCATTCTGGCACACCCCTCACACGTTTCGTGGCCCCATAGGGAGCTCCACCGAAGGCCCCAGTGGCTGCGCCCGCATGCGGTTCCACCCCCATTCTGGCACACCCCTCACACGTTTCGTGGCCCCATAGGGAGCTCCACCGAAGGCCCCAGTGGCTGCGCCCGCATGCGGTTCCACCCCCCATTCTGGCACACCCCTCACACGTTTCGTGGCCCCATAGGGAGCTCCACCGAAGGCCCCAGTGGCTGCGCCCGCATGCGGTTCCACCCCCCATTCTGGCTGTTTCGTGGCCCCATAGCTCCACCCCCAGACCCCCCATTCTGGCACACCCCTCACACGTTTCGTGGCCCCATAGGGAGCTCCACCGAAGGCCCCAGTGGCTGCGCCCGCATGCGGTTCCACCCCCCATTCTGGCACACCCCTCACACGTTTCGTGGCCCCATAGGGAGCTCCACCGAAGGCCCCAGTGGCTGCGCCCGCATGCGGTTCCACCCCCCGTTCTGGCACACCCCTCACACGTTTCGTGGCCCCATAGGGAGCTCCACCGAAGGCCCCAGTGGCTGCGCCCGCATGCGGTTCCACCCCCCATTCTGGCACACCCCTCACACGTTTCGTGGCCCCATAGGGAGCTCCACCGAAGGCCCCAGTGGCTGCGCCCGCATGCGGTTCCACCCCCCATTCTGGCACACCCCTCACACGTTTCGTGGCCCCATAGGGAGCTCCACCGAACGCTCCAGTGGCTGCGCCGCATGCGGTTCCACCCCCCATTTCGGCACACCCCTCACACGCTTCGTGGGTGGCTCCATGGGGAGCTCCACCGAACGCCCCAGTGGCTGCGCTCGCATGTGGTTCCCCCCCCCATTTCGGCACACCCCTCACACGGTTCGTGGCCCCATAGAGAGCTCCACCGAAGGCCCCAGTGGCTGCGCTCGCATGCGGTTCCACCCCCTTTTTCGGCACGCCCTTCACACGTCTCGTGGCCCCATAGGGAGCTCCACCGAACGCCGCAGTGGCTGCGCTCGCATGCGGTTCCACCCCCCATTTCGGCACACCCCTCACACGTTTCGTGGCTCCATAGGGAGCTCCACCGAAGGCCCCAGTGGCTGCGCTGGCATGCGGTTCCACACCCCATTCTGGCACACCCCTCGCACGTTTCGTGGCTCCATAAGGGGGCTCCACCAAAGGTCCCAGTGGCACTGCCCGCTTGCGTCCGCCACCACCCAGCACAGCCCTTGTTCCCTGCGCTTCAAAGGTCCCAGCGGCACCGCCCGCATGCGTCCGCCACCACCCTGCGCAGCCCTTGCTCCCTGCCTGCGTTTCACCCACCCAGTACAGCGTTTCGTGGCCCCATAGGGAGCTCCACCGAAGGTCCCAGTGGCACCGCTCGCATGCGTCCGCCACCACGCAGCACAGCCCTTGCTGACCGCGTCTCACCCACCCAGTACAGCGTTTCGTGGCCCCATAGGGAGCTCCACCGAAGGTCCCAGTGGCACCGCCCGCAGCGTCCGCCACCACCCAGCACAATTGCGGCATTCACAACTGCATATGGTTGGGTCCTTCGCCAGGCTAATTTTTCGGGAGGCCATGTTCTAGATTGTGTGGCCTGTTGGAAGGACCGAAAACCATGTCGTGGCATGGCACTGGAAATATTGTCGCCAGCGCTGCAGCGGGAGCACGATTCGGGACGAGCGGAAGCGCGAAAATGAGGCCAGCGCTTTAGCGGGAGCAACATTTTGAATCCAAACCCAAGCGATAACCCATTTCCCGGGAATCCGATGTGTTAAACAGCAGTGCGCAGAGAGGGGCCCGATATCTTCCGGGCGTCATCAGGTCAGGTGAGAGGAGAGCAGTATTCATAGTGTGCAGTGGCGGAGGAGGACGAGGAGGAGGAGGGCGAGGAGCAGGGGGAGGAGGAGCAGGAGGAGCAGGAGGAGGAGAAGGACGAGGAGGAGGAGGACGAGGAGGAGGACGCGGAGGAGGAGGGCGAGGAGCAGGGGGAGGAGGAGCAGGAGGAGCAGGAGGAGCAGGAGGAGGAGGAGGACGAGGAGGAGGACGAGGAGGAGCAGCAGCAAACACGTCTGGGGCTCTCCCGCCCGGCCCGGGTCCGCCCCAGCTCAGCCCCCGGGATCCCCCTCCCCCGGGAGGCCCCTCCCAGGCGGGAGCTTCGCGACGCGGGGGTCAGTGCCAACGGGGGCCAGCCAGAGTGCCGGACCCTGCAGGATCCTGCGGGGCCAGGATCGCACTGGCCCCGGGCTTGGGTGCGGAGGTTGACAGACCTCCTACGCTGACACGTCGATTAGCGAATTGGCCGTTTTCGGTTCGCGAGAGGGCGTCACGGCCATTTTTCCCAACCATCCTGTGGTGTTGGGTCCTCGTTTTGAAGAGACGGTGCCCGCGTCCTCTCCTCTCCTCCTCTTCCCCCTCCTCCCTCCTCCCCCTCCTTGCCTCTGCTCTCGGCACACCTCTCACGCGTTTCGTAGCCCCATAGGGAGCTCCACCGAAGGCCCCAGTGGGGGTGTTCGCATGCGGTTCCCCCACCCAGGGCAGCGTTTCGTGGCCCCATAGGGAGCTCCACCGAAGGCCCCAGTGGGGGTGTTCGCATGCGGTTCCCCCACCCAGGGCAGCGTTTCGTAGCCCCATAGGGAGCTCCACCGAAGGCCCCAGTGGGGGTGTTCGCATGCGGTTCCCCCACCCAGGGCAGCGTTTCGTGGCCCCATAGGGAGCTCCACCGAAGGCCCCAGTGGGGGTGTTCGCATGCGGTTCCCCCACCCAGGGCAGCGTTTCGTGGCCCCATAGGGAGCTCCACCGAAGGCCCCAGTGGGGGTGTTCGCATGCGGTTCCCCCACCCAGGGCAGCGTTTCGTGGCCCCATAGGGAGCTCCACCGAAGGCCCCAGTGGGGGTGTTCGCATGCGGTTCCCCCACCCAGGGCAGCGTTTCGTAGCCCCATAGGGAGCTCCACCGAAGGCCCCAGTGGGGGTGTTCGCATGCGGTTCCCCCACCCAGGGCAGCGTTTCGTGGCCCCATAGGGAGCTCCACCGAAGGCCCCAGTGGGGGTGTTCGCATGCGGTTCCCCCACCCAGGGCAGCGTTTCGTAGCCCCATAGGGAGCTCCACCGAAGGCCCCAGTGGGGGTGTTCGCATGCGGTTCCCCCACCCAGGGCAGCGTTTCGTAGCCCCATAGGGAGCTCCACCGAAGGCCCCAGTGGGGGTGTTCGCATGCGGTTCCCCCACCCAGGGCAGCGTTTCGTGGCCCCATAGGGAGCTCCACCGAAGGCCCCAGTGGGGGTGTTCGCATGCGGTTCCCCCACCCAGGGCAGCGTTTCGTAGCCCCATAGGGAGCTCCACCGAAGGCCCCAGTGGGGGTGTTCGCATGCGGTTCCCCCACCCAGGGCAGCGTTTCGTGGCCCCATAGGGAGCTCCACCGAAGGCCCCAGTGGGGGTGTTCGCATGCGGTTCCCCCACCCAGGGCAGCGTTTCGTAGCCCCATAGGGAGCTCCACCGAAGGCCCCAGTGGGGGTGTTCGCATGCGGTTCCCCCACCCAGGGCAGCGTTTCGTGGCCCCATAGGGAGCTCCACCGAAGGCCCCAGTGGGGGTGTTCGCATGCGGTTCCCCCACCCAGGGCAGCGTTTCGTAGCCCCATAGGGAGCTCCACCGAAGGCCCCAGTGGGGGTGTTCGCATGCGGTTCCCCCACCCAGGGCAGCGTTTCGTGGCCCCATAGGGAGCTCCACCGAAGGCCCCAGTGGGGGTGTTCGCATGCGGTTCCCCCACCCAGGGCAGCGTTTCGTAGCCCCATAGGGAGCTCCACCGAAGGCCCCAGTGGGGGTGTTCGCATGCGGTTCCCCCACCCAGGGCAGCGTTTCGTGGCCCCATAGGGAGCTCCACCGAAGGCCCCAGTGGGGGTGTTCGCATGCGGTTCCCCCACCCAGGGCAGCGTTTCGTGCCCCATAGGGAGCTCCACCGAAGGCCCCAGTGGGGGTGTTCGCATGCGGTTCCCCCACCCAGGGCAGCGTTTCGTGGCCCCATAGGGAGCTCCACCGAAGGCCCCAGTGGGGGTGTTCGCATGCGGTTCCCCCACCCAGGGCAGCGTTTCGTGGCCCCATAGGGAGCTCCACCGAAGGCCCCAGTGGGGGTGTTCGCATGCGGTTCCCCCACCCAGGGCAGCGTTTCGTGGCCCCATAGGGAGCTCCACCGAAGGCCCCAGTGGGGGTGTTCGCATGCGGTTCCCCCACCCAGGGCAGCGCTTCGTGGCCCCATGGGGAGCTCCACCGAAAGCCCCCGTGGCGCAGTTCGCATGCGCTTCCCCCACCCAGGGCAGCGTTTCGTGGCACCATAGGGAGCTCCACCGAAGGCCCCAGTGGCGCAGGCATAAGGTTTTCGCATACCCAGGGCAGCGTTTCGTAGCCCCATAGGGAGCTCCACCGAAGGCCCGCCCCGGTGGCGCAGTCCGCATGCGGTTCCCCCATCCAAGGCAGCGCTTCGTGGCCCCATATGGAGCCCCACCGAAAGTGGCACCCACAACGCGTTACCAACAATTGCTTATGGTTGGGTCTTTCGCCAGGATAATTTTTGCGGGTCCAGTTCTGTCGGTTTAGGTCCCAGGCCGTTTTCACTAAAGGGAGGTTTACTAAGGGAGGCTTGTCCACCGCCGATCCCTGGGTACAGGATGCTGCAGGATCTTGCAGGATCCTTCGCACTGGTCCGGGCTGGGGTGCAGGATCTTGCAGGATCTTGCAGTGCCCGACTGACCCGGGGCTGGATTGACCCGGGTCAGCAGATCCCCAACCCGGCCCGCGTGCTGAGGCGGACCCCGCTGCGGCGGCGAAGGGCCTCCTCGGGGCTCAAGAGACGGGGGCGGCAAAGAGGGGGGTGAGGACTGGGGGGGGGGGATATCGTGGCGGGGGCCATCGTATCTCCCCAGATTTCAAGGTGCCTCTGCTTAGTTCAATTCGTCCCTGGCCCCCCCCCCTGGGCCAAGCACGTGCCCCTGGCCATGATTTGCGCCCACCCCTCTTGGACGCTCGCCTCTTGGCCGCCCCCGAAGAGACGGGGGTCGATGTCAACGGGGGTCAGCCAGAGCGCCAGATGCACTGAGCGCGTTCCACTACTCGCAAAGTGCCTACTCGCAAACGTCTGGAACACACGCTATGGCTTCAATGCGACAGATCGCAGATTCCCTGCGGCGGATTCAGGCCACTTGCGAGTAGCGATTCTGCGAGTAGTGGAACGCGCTTGTCTACGGATGTTGCAGGATCCTGCAGGGCCCCGGTTGCACTGACACAGACTCGGGTGCAGGATCCTGCGGGATCTTGCAGGGTCTAGCAGGATCCTGCAGAGCCTGACTAACCCGGGTCTGGGTTGTCCCGGGCCAGTATATCCCTGACCTCTGGTGGGAGGCCCAGGGAGCACGGGCAAGAACGCCACGGAGGGCCGTTGGGCGTCGCGCACTTGGGGGGCATAAAGAGGGGGCAGCGATGGCTGCAGAAAAGGGGCCCTTTGGGGCCTCCCCCTAAAGGTTCAGGGCCCCAAAGAGCGCCCTTGGGGCCAGAAGCATGTACCTTTCTTCCCTCCGCTCTGCTCGCCCCCCAGTAAGCGACGCCAAAGGCCACCGCTGTCTCGACCCCCTGAGATCCGACGGCACGAGCAAATTGCAGCATCGTAAGAGTTCACCTCCTGGAGCCCCAGACTCGGAGGAGGAAAAGGCACCGATGAAGCGACCCTTCCTTTGCTTTCTCCCTTTGGGCCTCCTGGGAGGCCCTCGTCGCCACCGCTGGATTCGCTTCGATATTCCAGTCAGAATGTCCCCCAAGAGAGGTCTGGGGATAGCGGTTTCGGTACCTTTCGATGTCCTGGGAGCTTATTCGTGGCCTTTGGGAGCTTTTGCCAGGCCTCGGGGTGTCAAAAAACGACTCAGGATGAAAAGCCGGTGACGGGGGATGGGTCGAGACCTTTGGGGGTCGACGTTTCGAAGAAGTCATGACGTCGGGGGCCGGGGGAGATCCGACGACACGAACACATTGCAGCATCCTAAGAAGTCACCCCGTGGAGCGCCAGACCCACTATTTCTACGGCGTTCTCCGAGCCGGCTCCGATCCGTGATGCTTCCGAGTCCCGAAGCCGGGCGAGAGCGACCGGTGACAGAGAGCGGCAGCGCCCGGAGCGCGGGGTCGATGTGTTGGCCCTCTTCCGACAGGTGCAGATGACCGTGTCGTTCCTGCTCAAGTGTGGCGGCGCCTGGCGGCACACAAGGGTTCGGTAGCAAGGTCGCAATTCTCGGGGGCGGAAAAGAGGGGGGTGATAACTAGGGGGGGGTGTATATCATGGCGGGGGCCATGATAATTCCCCAGATTTCATGGCGCCTCTTCTTATTTCATTACGTGCCTGGCCCTTCCGCTGGGCCGCGCACATGCCGCCGGTCATGATTTGCACCCCCCCCTCTTGGACACCCCCCCTCTTGGCCGCTCCCGAAATTCATGGGATCCCGATTCTGTCTTCGGTGAGGCAGCGCCGATCTAGCGTCGATTCGCGTCCGTTTAGCGTTGGCTAGCGTTGGTCAGCGCAGGGGAGGCTCCCATGAGTTGCCCTCGAAAGAGGGGGTGGCGGGGTGGCGCGAGAGGGGATGCGTTCCAGGAAGGCGGGGTCGTGTTCTTAGAAGGCGGGGATGCTGTTAGAGGCCCTCCTGGCTTCCAAGGAGCCTCTCAGAAGCCTCTGGCCCTTTTTTGAGAAGGCTTTCGCCCTCAAGCACCCCGCCTTCTTTGTAGGCATCGCAAGTGAAGTCCGAGCAGATGGGGTGGAAGAATCGCTCCGCATCGCCGCGTGTATCGGCGATGCGGCTCGATGGAGCCCGAGTCTCTTCACGTCGAGGTCGCCGTTGCGTCGCCAGCGTCGCCCAAGCATGACGGATGCATCGACGATGCGGCACGATCTTCCGACCCCGTCTATTCGGTTCCATTTGGCTTGGGAGGGCTCTACAGTCAACCCGCATAGTAAGGATGGGCAACCTTCCCAAGGTTACCCTTGCATCCTTGTCCCTTCGGCCCATCCTTGCCCGCTTTCGCTGGCCGCGCCCCGCTCGCAGCGTGTCGACATGGCCTCCCAAGGCCCTTGCATCCTTATCGCGCATCCTTACTATACGGGTTGACTGTAGGTGTTGTCAGGCACAGACCCCCTCGCGTCGTGACCTGGCCAGGTCCGGTCTCTGGGTCCCTGACTGGGCCGCTGGAGCGGCCCAGCATGAGGAGCCAGCCCTGGGGAAGAGGTCCAGACTTGTGGAAGTCGATTAATGGAGAGGAAGTATGCTGCCAAATAGTTCCCAGGTGTCTAAGATATTTCAAACATGTTTTAGATATGTAAGAACGTGTTTGAAACGTGTTTAGAACATGTATTGCACATGTTAGACACATCTTTCATTCAATGGTAGGACTGTTCGAGTGTCCACTGTCGTGGCATCCGCAAGTCTAGACCTCCAGGGGGTTTTGAGAAGTCACGACGTCGTGGACGTCTCCCCCCGCCCCCCCTCGGGTGTGGCCACCCCGGCGCCACCCTCGACAGTCGGGCCGCTGAAGAAGGAGCCTTTTCGTTTGGGAGGGGCCCCGTGTGCCTCGATGGTTCTCCAGCTTGTCTTGGGCGGTCCTCGGGTTCTCTTTGGGAGCTCGACGCTGAAAGTATGGATAGCAGGGGCCTCGTTCCCCATCTAGGCTCCTTGTGATGGCGTGTCGACTGCACTCCCGGACCCTCGACGTCGTGTTTTTATGTTACGACGTCGACCCCAAGAGGGCTCGATCCCTTCCCCCGGGCTGGCGCCTGATCCTGCGCCGCGTTGGTGGACGGTCCCAGGGCCCGGCGAGGGCCCCCCCGAGGCAGACGAATTCCGTCGGGCCGAGGTGTCGAGGTCGGTTCGGGGAGTGTTCATTGGTCCGAAAGATACCCGTACCCGGTTTCAGCCAAGGTGAGATGGGCCGTCCGGGGAACTGGGCGTTTGCTATTGTGCCCGGTCAGCTTGCCCCGCGCGCGCCAGTGCAGCATCCGCGTGTCAAGACGCAACGGCGCGCTCGATGGTTGGGTGTTTGATTGCAGCGACAAGCGCTGGTTTTTGTTAGGGACGTCTCGGGGCATCGTGGTGCGCGCGCGGCTCAAAGCCGCCCATATGTGGTGGCGCCTGTCCCAATTGATAACGAGATGCGTTTCCTCGCCATCATCCTGGCAACCAATGCGTCTGGGCATGCCCTGAGGAACGACGTTGCAATGTCGCGCCCCCGGGGGGCCGCAGCGGCCACGTTGGGGACGGCTCTGGAGGGCTTGTGATGTGTTCGAGAGCGTTTTGGGCCTGCCGCTACTTCGGCTAGGTACGGGGACCTGCTTGAAACCACCGAAACAGACCCGGAGCTAGCTGGGGTGGAGCTGCGACACCCCGGCTATGTACGGGTATGTTGTTGGGTTTTCTGGGGGCAACCGTACCAAGCTGGGGTGATCCGCGGACGGCCGTCCAAGGGGGGCGGCCTCTGGCGACCTCGCCCAGCGCTCATAGCCGCGATGTCTCTGCACCGATCAATTCGCGATTGGGCGGTTGTCGCGCTGTGACGTTCGCGCCCAAATTGCTCGCATGCACCCCCGAGCGCGCGTCGACCTCAACGCCAGGATATGTGTCTCTGGGGGTGCGCCTCCTATGCAGCTGGTCTACATCTACAGCAACCAACGCGGGGTCGGCCACTCCGCCGATTCGAGCGTACGCGCGATCGGTGCTAACGTGCGCCTCGAGAAGACAGCGGTCTGCAATGCTCGATCGGCCGTCGCTTCTACACTTGTGCAGCCGCCGTCAGCTGCGACGAACCGCCCCCCCGGACCCTTGCCACCCTGTCTACGTAAGGGTACGGGTATCTTTCGCGCTCGAGACTAATAGTTCGAGGGCGGCAAAGAGGGGGGTGATGACTAGGGGGGGGGATATCATGGCGGGGGCCATGATATTTCCGCTGGGCCGCGCACGTGCCGCCGGTCATGATTTGCACCCCCCCCTCTTGGACACTCCCCTCTTGGCCGCTCCCGAATACTGTCCCTCGTGCGTGCTGGAAGGAGGAAGAGAAAGAGGAGGAGGAGGAGGAGGAGGAGGAGGAGGAGGACGGGGAGGAGGAGGAGGAGGAGGAGGAGGACGAGGAGGAGGACGAGGAGGAGGAAGAGGAGGAGGAGGAGGAGGAGGAGGAGGAGGAGGAGCCATCCCTCTTGTACAGCGCCGCCGAGGCTCGCTGCGGGGCGACGCGGGCGAGATGCTGCTGGGCGAGTACATGCGCAGCGTGCTGTCGGAGGACGCGGCCGTGGGCCTGCCGTCGGCCGCCCTGCGCTCGGAGGTGCGCCTTTGCCACGTGGACGCCCTGGCCTCGCTGCTGAAGGGCGTCCTGAACAAGGAGCCGACGGGAAGCAGGAAGCGGGGCCGAGGAGGGATCGCAAGGGTTAAGCCGGGCCCGTCCCTCTACAGGAGGAATATCCAGAAAGAGTCACAACATAGTCTGGGGACCATTTTTCGTGCATTTGTTTGAACACTCTTGGTGTATTGTTTGACCGTGCTTTCTATATTTCGTGGAAAATCCCCCTCCAGGGGGACACGCCCGACTTAACGCAAGGGCACCCTTGCGTCCTCCCCGCAGTCTTGTCACTCCTGGCAGGCAGGGGTCGGCGGATTCCCGACGGCCCCAGGCACCCGGCAGAGCTCACGGGCGCCCCTCGGTGGTCACCATCCACGGGGGAGTGTCCCCCCAAGACCTGTTTACGTATGGCAAGCCCTCATCGCGTCAGCGTGAGGGGGCCGAGCTTTTAGCTCGCTGAGGGGCAGCGAACGCGATCTGTGTTTCTGGGGCGACGGAGGAGGAGGTAATGCTCGTAGCGTGAGAGCAAACCTTAGCAGCCCAATCGCTGGTAAGAGCAAGCCTACGGTCCAAACTTGTCGCGAGTGGGTGTCGTCAGGATTGTTATTGACGGATCCAGCGCGCCCGCTGAGCGTATTGGGATCTGGCCTTGGAAACAGCGCTGCCCCCAAAGCGACCTCCAAGGCCGAACGCTCATTCATTGTCCCTGGGCGCGTGGCTGAATTGGGGTTCCGCAGCTGCGGATTGTTGCTGCGGTGATGTTGCGGCGCTGCGGTCGTCGTCCGCCGTTGCGCATATACGATTGAGAGGGGGCGGACGCGGGGAGGGTCGGGGGCGGGCCGCGGGGGTGGCGCGGGCGAAGACCCCGACGGCAACACCGCAACAGCAATCCGCAACTGCGGATCCCCTTTTTCAGCCAAGCGCCCAAGGGCAGTGGATAACCGTTCGGCCCTCGCACTCTGACGCGAAGAAAGCTTGCCGTAAGAAGTCGTGGAGTACATTGCTCTGTCGATGTTGACCTCCGCGGGAGGAAGCCCCCCATGCAGGCACCCTCCGTGTGAATGTGTGTGTTCGTTCGTTGCCAGCCCGTAGCAGAGACACCGTGCCCTCGCACCGTCTGATACCAGGTTGCGCGCCACGCCAAGCAATGCCAGCTGCAGTGGATGAGAGGAAGGCACGTGGGTGGGGCATGGTCCAATGTGCAGCCACCCAACGCCAAATTACACACCCCCGCACTCTGCTCTTGTCGCACCCATCCGCCTGGACCGGCCTCTTCCCGGCACTGGGCACACCGACGTTCACACAACTTGCGAGCAACACGCGCCACATTGGTGGTTGCCGCTGTCGGTTTTGGTGGGTGGACCAGCCCGTTCCCGGTGGCGTGATGGGGCAGCACCTGCACCGCGCGATTCCGCACAAGGCTCACGGTAGCATGTGGGAGCGCGGGTGGGTGGGTGCGAGAGCGTGTTTGATCCACGCATGTGTGCGTGCATAAGAGGGGAAGAGTGGGAGAGGGACCACGAAGAGGTTCAGCCCGCCGGCCACGGCCATGCCATCACACCGGAATGGGAAGAGGGGGGAGGGAGGGGAGGAAGGGGGACGGGGGGAGAGGAGGGGGGCAGGCCAGAAGGAGGGCAGGCAGAGGGAGGAGGAAGGGGGGAGAAAAGAGCCAGTGTGCAGCTCGGGTCGCAGCAGGGCGAACGGTAGGCCATGGATGTTGGCCAGGCGCGGAAATCTCACCTCTGAAGCTGCACACGACTTTGGACCTGGCGTCGGGGGGTCCTGTGCCGGGCGCTACCGTTATTAGGAGATGTGGCGGAGTTGCAACCGATTCCTTGGCGAAGAATGCCACTGCAGCTACCCCCTTCGTCTACGACATGGTGTGTTCAGTGCACTGCGCCGCCGCACCCTGCACTTGATCGACCGGGGGCGAGTCGACATGCTGCGGATTGAGACCGTCCGCGCTGTCGCCTGGGACTGTTCCTACGGAGGTCACCGCAAAGTCGTTCGTGTCATCCGTGGCCGAGGCGCCCCAGCGATTACTTGAACAGAGAGTTGCATGTGCGCGCGTGTGTGTGTGTATGCTACAATGGGCCACGCATGGATGATGGACAGGGATTATGGACAAGGATGATGGACAGGGATGTGTGTATTCTACAATGGACAGGAACGAAGGACTCTACCATAGACCAACGCACCAGTTTACCGGGGCCCTTACCTGGAACCACCGAGACAACGCCAGGGAGGATTAGAGAGTGGTGGTCAATCGCCTCAAGAAAGAATGCGGCCCCATGCCCACCATTGGGTGGAACGCCGTTTGCGATCACGAGCCTGGGCCCCAAAGACCCTCAGCGTCGTTATTGACCTCAGCGAGGTCAAATACGACGTGCGCAGGCCCTGCGGGAAGAAGGGCATACACGTCGACTGGAACTCTGAGAGGTATCGCGCACTTGACAAGCAATACTCTGACCTCGCAGAAAGCGAAAGGAAGGGTACTCCCTCGCACGGGAAAAGGGACGCGGCCAGCGGACTCCTCGTGGCCTAGCAATGACCCTTTTCACCAGCTCTGGTCAGCTTCCAGCAACCACCGCTGGTAGCCTTCAGCGGCATCTCACGGCCTCGACCTTTACTGAGCGCCGCACCCCCGCCCTGGCAGTGGCCCCTTTTGCCGTCGCCGCCGCCCCCTTCCTGGCTACGTGGCTTCTCGCATCGTGCACCTATTCGGTGCCCCCCCCGCAGGACTCAAACTTTTTTGCTCGGGGCCTGCCCGCTGTCTTCCTTTGCCCTCGCGGCTGCCTCCCATCGTGCACCTGCTCGGCGCCCCCCTGCAAGCCCCACCTGCCCGGGGCTTGCCCTCCTACAGCCGGGGCCCTGAAGAAGGAACCCCTTTCGCTGGGGAGGGGCTCGGTGTTCCTTGATTGTTTTACAGCTTGCCCTGCGTTTCCCTTGGGTATTCCATGGGGAATCGAAGTTTAACCTATGGAAAAACGGGGCCTCGTTCCTTGTTTAGGGTTCCTTAAGGTCAACGCCCCGACGGTGTCCCTCACAGGCGTGGGAGACCCGCCCGCGCCAGCGACGAGCGAGCGGCCGGCTCTCCCCTGCGGGCCGCCCTCCCCCGGGCGGGCCCCCGGCGTTGCTGGCCGGCCTCTTGCCGCCCGCTCGTGCCTGCACGCCGCCCCGCCCGCCCGCTCCTCCTCCTCCTGCTCCTCCTCCCCCTCCTCCTCCTCCTCCTCCTCCTCCTCCTCCCTCCTCCTCCTCCTCCTCCTCTCTCCTCCTCCTCCTCCTCCTCCTCCTCCTCCTCCTCCTCCTCCTCCTCCTCCTCCTCCTCCTCCTCCCTCCTCCTCCTCCTCCGGCCGCTCCGGCACCGGGCCGCTCTGGGGTGCTCTGCGCCGCCGCCGCTCCCTACCTCTCGGCTTGGCATCGCTCGGACGTGTGCGTGTTCCCTTCGGCGAGGGGCCATCGAGGAGCATCCCTGATCATCTGGCGGAGAAGCCACGCGCGAAATGGAGGATGGCGATTAATATAAATGACCGGGGGCCGTGTTCACGCGGCGGCGCCCGGGATGACGATCAGAAAAAACCAGCCGCGGGCTGGAAGACTATTTTTTAATTGTGCTCCTCCATTCAGAAAATTGTGCAGACATAGCAGAAAGCTATTTGTTTAATCGTTCTCTCCCATTTTTTGATTAATCGTCATCCCGCATTACCTCTTGGGGCGCCGGCTTTCTGCAGGTTTTGTCCAGGCCTTGCCTGCGGCACCCCTCGGCCTTGCCGGCTTGGTCGGCCAGGGCAGCACTCACTCTGCCTGGTGCTTGTGCCCCTCTTCTCTGCCTGGCCCTCTTGCCACGCCCCTAGCACCGGCTACCGGTGTCTGGTCCGGATGCTTCTGTAGCTTTTTTGGCCCCCCGCCCAGCACCGGCTACCCGTGTCTGGCCGTGGTCGCTTCTTTGTCCTGCCGCCGCGTGCGGGTACTCGGGTGGCTCCGCCCCTGGGTTCATCCGCTCGCGTTGGCTTGCCGCCCCTCAGTGGGCGCGGCCCGCCTGCCCGCCGCCGGCTGGCATCCGGCCTCGGCGCTCTCTCTTGGCGGGGCCCCTCCCCGTGCCCTCGGTGCTGCTGCGCCCCTGGGCCGCCCCCCCTCGCCTGGTCTCGGCGCTCCCCTCCGTAGCCGACGTCGGGGTTCCCCCCGTCGGCGTGGGTCGAGGTCCTGGCCACCCGCTTCTTCGGCTCGTCCGTCGCCCCGTCGACCCGCTCTCCGGCGGTGTCGCCCCAGCCCTTCCCCCGCGGTTGTGCCTCGCAGGCCCGCGGGTCTCGGCGCTTCGCTTCTCTCGGGGCCAGGGCTCGGCTGCTGGGTTGGACGCCGCGCCCTCCGGTGTCCTGTTCCACCTGGCTCCGAGCTGCTCGCCGCTTGGCCCGCCCAGTGGCGACTTGTGCCGCTCCGCATTGGCCCCTCGTGCACGCAGCGCCGCGCTCGGGTCGAGGTTCCCTACGATGTATTTCCCTTTCACCAGTTGCAGCACAGTGCTGCCTCCCCCCTAGCTTCAGCTCGGCGCTTCCTCCGCCGCAGTCGGCAGCTCTGAGTGGCCCGGCTTTCTCTCCCCCGTGCCAGAGTTCATCCTCCTCTGTGCATTGCGGCCTCAATTTGCATACAGTGCGCCCCTTGCTGCCACTCCGCCGGGGCAGTCACCCTCTGCCGAGCCGCCGACGCAAGAAAATGTTTGTGTGTATATACGTTTGCCTCGTGCCCTTCTTCCGCGGACGGCCTGCTTTTGCACCGCACCGCGTTAGCCTCGCCCGAGGCGTCGTCAATTCGCGACCCAGGAATGGTACGGCGCACACAGTGGAGACCCACGCCAAGACACACCCTGCTTGCCTCCAGGGTGCCCTGGGCTTCTCGGGCGTCGATGGCGTTGCGATAGAAAGCGCGACGCTCCCACGCCAAACATCCGTGGACGTCCTGGGGCCTCAGGGCTGGATTTCTTGTAGAAGGTCTCTGGTGGTCGAGCCCCTACCCTGGAGGCGGATCTGTCCCTCTACAGGAGGCATGCTCGAAAATGTTCACAACATCGTCTGGAGGCGACTGCTTGTCTATGTCTTGCTACAGTTCCCATATGTTTGGGCGTCTTTCTTTGTTCCTCGAAGGTCCTCCTGGAGGGAGACATGCCCGATCTAAGCCTGTCCCTACCCCCACGGGGCCATGACGGGACGAATGTCGGCCCTCCGGGCCGAAAAACAGTGTGCACCGGGCCGGAAGGGAGCCCGAGCACGGCGCGGTGCTGGGGCGCCGTTCTCGATCCATCGTCGATGCTCCCGAAAATACGTAGGGGAAACTATGGGAAGTGGGAGGGGGAGATGAAAACCTAGGAAGAAAATGAGAAATTACGGGGGGATCCTGTCATTTGTGTGTTTATGTGTGTGTGTGTGTGTGTGCGTGTGTGTGTGTGTGTGTGTGTGTGTGTGTGTGTTTGTGTGTGTGTGTGTGCGTGTGCGTGTGCGTGTGCGTGTGCGTGTGCGTGTGCGTGTGCGTGTGCGTGTGCGTGTGCGTGTGTGTGTGCGTGTGTGTGTGTGTGTGTGTGTGTGTGTGTGTGTGTGTGTGTGTGTGTGTGTGTGTGTGTGTGTGTGTGTGTGTGTGTGTGTGTGTGTGTGTGTGTGTGTGTGTGTGTGTGTGTGTGTGTGTGTGTGTGTGTGTGTGTGGTGTGTGTGTGTGTGTGTGTGTGTGTGTGTGTGTGTGTGTGTGTGTGTGTGTGTGTGTGTGTGTGTGTGTGTGTGTGTGTGTGTGTGTGTGTGTGTGTGTGTGTGTGTGTGTGTGTGTGTGTGTGTGTGTGTGTGTGTCCCAGGGCCCCTGTATTCGACCCCATGCTAGCACCCTTCTGTATGTCAGGGCTCGAACTGAGCTGTGTGCTGTCGATTTCGTGGGCCGTTTTCGTTTTGTCTTCGTGTCGCAGCAACGGCAAACAGAAGACAGAACGGAGGAACACGAGAAAGAACGAAAACACGTCGAAAAAAAACGAAAAACGCTGTTGAGCTCGAGCCCTGACCCCCTACGTCATGACTTTGTGCACCGCGTCGGCCCCCTAAGGTCTGGACCCCTTCACCAGGACCAGTTTCTCATCCTGAGTCGTTCTTCCACGGCCCCGGGTTTGGCAATGGGCCCCCAGAGGCCGAGAGTAGCCAAAAACTTCCCGTCGCGATTTGTTCACATCGAAGGCGAAACAAATTGCATAAGCATCGAATTTCAACGCTCCGCGCGGATTTTTTTGCACCTGCGCTGAGACCCCCTGGCGGCGCCTCGGGCGCCCCCCCTTGGAGCGATCCGCGCGCCATGGAGGGGGCCCAGCGCCGAAAGCTTGTGTTTGTGCAGTTTCTTGGTCCCCCATCACAACGCCGGGGTGCTCCTTCGACTAGACGTAAGAGTGACCTTTCGCCGGAGTGACCTTTGGTGCGGGCACAGATGGGTCCACAGGTGGCTGAAAACAAAGCAGGAGCAGCGGCTTGCGCGCCCAGGTTTGGTCCCCCCGCGGCCCCCAAAAAGCCGCGCACCAAAGGTCACTCTCACCCAGGGTCACTCTTGCGTGTAGCCGACTCCCGGGTTCCGTCCGCAGGACCCCATGGAGCGATCCGCGCGCCATGGAGGGGGCCCAGCGCCGAAAGCTTATGTTTATTCAGTTTCTTGGTCCTCCAGCACAGCGCGAGGCAGCTCCTGGGTTCCGGCCGCAGGACCCCATGGAGGGCGTCGACCCGAGGTACCGCGCCGAGCTGCCCCCCGCGCTCGAGGCCGAGCTGGTGGCCGCGAGGCCCCGGCTGCCCGCGGCGCTGGCGCCGCTCCTGGCGCGCTTCGCGGAGGGCCACCTCGCCGACGCGAGCCTGAGCGGCACGGCCAGCATGCTGGACATCGGAGGAGGAAGGGGTACCCACAGTGATCGTTTTTGTTTGACTCATGGTCCTGCCGAGAGGCGCAGGCCCTCGCAACCCCCCCCCCCTCTCCCCCCCGGAGTGGAGCCTGAGCGGCACGGCCAGCATGCTGGACATCGGGGGTCGGCGGCGAGCGAGGGGGGGAAGTGAGCAGGGGCGGGCCTTCTCAGAAGGCTCGGAGGTCCCCTGGCCTTCTGAGAAGTTGTTTCTAAGCCTTCCCCGAAGACAGAAAAGACTTCTCAGAAGGCGCGAGGGCTTCTGAGAAGTCCCGCCGCCTTCTGAGAAGGCCTTCTCCTTCTCACTTCCCCGCCTCGCTCGCCGCCAAGGAGGAGGAAGAGGTACCCACAGTGATCGTTGTTGCTTGACTCATGGTCCTGCCGATCGGCGCAGGCCCTCGCAACCCCCCCCTCTCCCCCCTGGAGCGGATCTTGGCTGTCTGTTGCTGGCGCCTGTGATCAAGCAGGTGGAATCTCCCCCATAGGATTCACGGTTCCGAGCAGTCGCATTAAGCAAAGGTTTGGAGCCAGACCCCCCCCATCCGCCCAACGTCGAAACGCAAAACAAGACAACGTTCACATACAGATACTCTTCGGCAGTAAATCATGGGAGCTTGGTATACCCTCTGAATTTCGCCTTCAGCGTCGGTGAGCATCGATCAGCGTCTGGGAGTCGATGAGAAAGCGCCGAGTTAGCGTCGGCGAGCGTCGATTTAGCTCCAATTAGCGTCGACTAGCGTCGATTCGCAAGAGCCGACAAGATGGTATGGGAGGCCAGAATGCTTGACATCAGAGGGGGAACACCCACACCCCGTCGCGTTGTGAAAAAGTAACGACGGGAGGTTGTTCGCTATTTTCGGCCTCCTGGGGCATTTCCCGGGGCTCAGGACCGCTAACAAAAATTTGTCAGAATGAAAGACCCGCTCAGGGAAAGGCGTCCAGATCTTTGGTGGTCGACGTTGCCAAAAAGTCACGACGTCGGGTCTGGGAAAGTTGCCCATTTGGTACTTGTCCCTCGTTTTCCCCTTTGTCGGCCTCCTGGCAGGCCGCTGGATTTGCCTCGAGATCCTGGTCAGAACGCACCCCAGGAAAGGTCGGGGGAGTAGCGATATCAGTGCCTTTTGGTTTCCCCAGGACATGTTCGCCGCCATGGAGGAGCTGATCGTCCATCCCCTCCCAGACCCCCTCGCGTCCTGACAGAAACCACGACGAAGGGTTTTTCAGTATCTTCGGCCTCTGGGGGCCTCGCCGGACCTCGGGACCGTCAACAAAAGGACTCAGGATGAAGAACCGGTCCTGGGGGGGAGGAGGAGGAGGAGGAGGAGGAGGAGGAGGAGGAGGAG